TCCTTCCTTTCTTGCTCTAGAACACACCTAGAACCCAGAAATCTTCCCCCCCTGCTGGAAAAGCCGGATCTGCCCTGCTCTGCTTTGTCCTTCCGCCGGCTGCTCTTGATTATGGGTGATTTCTGGGCATTTTTCGGTAAGAACAGCCCCTAATTTCCTTTGTTCTTGCTTGAATTGCCCTGGGTTTACCTTAATTGCTCTTGTTCCTCCAATTTTTGGGTAAACCCGTGAGCTTTCCCTGCAGCTTGCCGCCGGCCTCTTCCCCCCTGCAGCTCCGGTTTTAGCTGGAAAATTCTGGTATGTGACAGCCTTTTAAGGATTAAATTGTCCATTTAGTTTGCTGCCTTGTATGTCCGAATTGTGTTGGAAAAATGGGGGAAATTCCGGTAGCCTTTGAGCATGTTTTAAGCTTGGTTTAAGTGTAAATTAGCTTGATTTAGATTGTTATCTGATTTTTGGAGAAAACCCCATGATTAGCTAGTGTTTTGGCCAATTTTAGAAGTTGGAATTACTGTTCACGTCGGGGTTACTGTTCACCGGCACTGTTCACAGATTACTGTTCACACCCCGAGGGCCAACAGTTAACGGGGATTTAAATGATTAGTTTGTGATATAAGAACAAATTTGGAGATATCTAATAATGTGGAGATTGATAGGAATAGCATCGTGATTAGGAGTGATCTTGATGATTTCAGTTTGAATTTGTGATGGTCCGGTATTAATTCTGAGGTGTTTTGATTAGGTTCCCGATCGTTCTATCAGTTAGCATCGAGATTGAGTGCTCGGTTTTATGCGAGTGAGGTAAGTAAATTTATGGTAATGCCCGTACTGTTTTTAAAAGCATGTTTTGATTTGTTTTTGAAGTGGTGGCGGGACTAAACCTGTTTTACACAAGTATGACTGATTTGAAGTGAAATGTTTTCTGCTTTTCATGAAATTGAGCATGCTTACTTGAAAGTGATTGTGAACTGTCCTGATGATCTGAAAGTGATTATGAATTGTGATTTGCCTGTAACCTCTGCCTGTTTTGTCTCCGATATGATCATGTTATTCGTGTGCCCGCTAGTGGGAGGTTTATAAACGCTAGCACATGTCGACATGTTACTGATAGAACTGGTTCGTTCAAGTGACCCTACTAGTGGGGATTATACACTAGTAAATCATGTGCCTACCAGTGCGAGGTTTATAACACTGGCCATGACCTATAGAGGAGATGTCTATTTCGTTCCCATACTGTATCTGTTTTTCGTGATTATACTTGTTGGCATGCTATAAGTTTAATAAAGGGCACTCCATATTTTACTTACTGAGTTTATCTCATAGTTTTTCCTTGTCCACCATTTCAGGAAGTGAAACTGAGGATGGGGAAACCACAGGAAGTGACGAGTTAGAAGGCTAGCCATATTGTAATTGATATAGATTTTAAATATAAATTATGATCTTGTAAGTTAGAGTGTATTTGGAGATTTTATGATATGAGAGCCAATTTTATAATTTGATCTTCAGATTTTGATGGTATCAGAGTGTGATATGATAAGTTCCGAGCCTTGTGCACTTGTGGGACCCGTCTCACGAGTGTACGGCGTCTGCCACGTCCCTGGATTTGGGTTCTGGGGCGTGACAGGGCTAGTTGTGGATGAAAAGGGATTCAAACCCTCAACATTGTGGTTCATAGCTGTCATGCCCCAGAACCCAAATCCGGGGACGTGGCAGACGCCATGCACTCGTGAGACGGGTCCCACAAATGCACAAGGCTCGGAACTTATCATACTGTACTCTGATACCACCAAAATCTCCAATACACTCGAGTTTACAAGATCATGATCTATTTCTAAAATTCATATCAAATTACAATATGGCTAGCCTTCTAACTCGTCACTTCCCGTGATTTCCCCGTCCTCGGTTTCTCTTCATGAAATGGTGGACAAGGAAAAACTATGAGATAAACTCAGTAAGTAAAATATGGAGTGCCCTTTATTAAACTTATAGCATGCCACATGTGCAATCACGCAAAACGGATATAGTACGGGAACGAAATAGACGTCTCCTCCATAGGTCACGGCCAGTGTTATAAACCTCCCACTGGCAAGCCACAGAAATTACTAGTGTTTAACCCCCACTAGTAGGGTTACAAAACGAACCGGTTCTATCAATAACATGTCGACATGTGCTAGCGTTTATAAACCTCCCACTAGCGGGCACACGAATACATGACCATATCGGAGACA